TCTTTTATCTATCACAGCGATCACAGCAGTTAAGCTATTCCGTGCGCTCCCTCTTAGATCTCACGTCTTGCTAATCTTGAATAATAACTTTCTATACGAATCCTAAACTATCCTAAAATCCTATTTTAACTAATTAAATTCAATAATATAACTATTGTCATTAATTAATCGACTTTCTATCTGGCGACTTCGTAATATATTTTTGATTGTCGTCATGTTGAACACTGTTGCAATTAGCTTTAGCCACCCCCCCCCAATTTGAATTTTTTGAGCCCCCCCCCCCAAGAATTTCAATGACGCAGTCTGCGTCACAGCCCCCCATTGTGGGCACCCCTGACTTTAGACATAAATACATAGAAAAACCAATGGCCTAATTTGTATTTTGTAGCTTTTAGCAAATTTCCCATATAGGGAATACACAATTTGAAATTGTTGTTTCAAACATAATAATTATGCCTAAAAATTGTTAACTTAATTTTAAAAACCTCTTTATCATGGCTATGCCTTATCTTAGCAATAACATACTAGGTAAAGTCATATTAACTTTCTTGACACAATCCTGTTAGGAGTAAAAGTTTTAATAATGTATGGACTGTAATTAATTGTTGTTAGAAAACCATGAATGTACGATACAATCCATTTCCATAGTAATGTCAAGGTATTAAAATTGAAAATATTGGTTTAAATACAATTCTGAGAAGAAAATTGAAAAAATAATGGTAGTAATATCATCAATCAGGCAGTGATGGCAAACTCTGGGTTAAATCAATTAATAAATGATCTAACTCGCATATCGGGCAATACCATTAGTTTAATTGACCATATTTATTTTAGATCTCATGATAATATTATTAGCAGTGGTAAGGTTATTCCATTGTGCTTAACTGATCATGATTGTACGGTCTGCAACCTTAGTGTTGGTCATCATTTGACCAATATCAACTCAGATAAACTTTATCAGTACAAGAAAGTTGATTATATTATGTTAAGGCGCTTAGCAGAGTGTACAGATTGGTCCTTTGTTTTTATTTGTAATAACATTTATGAAGTTTTTAAACTGTTTTTGGATCGTTTCTTAGACATAATAAATAGGTCTACTCTCTGTAGTGAAAACACCGTTAAATACAAAATACTTAAACCATGGATGACATATGCTTTATGTAAAAGGCAACTTGCTAGAAATGCATTGTACAAAAAGGTTAAAAAATACCCACAAAACACAAGATTAAGAACATATTTTGATACTTTTTCGAGGAGGTTAAAGGCTGATATGAATACAAGAAAAGAGCAGTATTATAAAAACCTGTTTGATTAAAATAAAAATAATATGAAAAAACAATGGCGTGCTGTTAGTAGCATATTGGGGGCCAATGATTCAAGCAAAGATATTGCTAGTGTTTATTCCCGTACAAATCCCAACGAACTCATAAGTGATCCCCGGGGAATAGCTGATGAATTTAATAATTTTTTGATCAATGTTATAGACGATTTGCGTAATGGGTTAGACTCTTTGAATGGGGTTGATGTTACCAATTATTCAAAACGTTTTCCATCAAAAAACAATTTGAACTCTTTATTTTTGGTACCAACTGACTCGGAAGAGTTAAGTAGGATTATATTAAGCCTAGATTCCAAGGGTCGCCGGATTTCTACCCCCGGATATTTACCCCCATGAAAAAACGCCTACGTCATTTTGACGTCACAAGGGGCGGGGCCTATACACGGTCGAGAAACAGCCCGCGACTGGAAATCTACCCCCGGACATCTACCCCCGGACATCTACCCCCAGACATCTACCCCCGGACATCTACCCCCGGAAATCTACCCCCGGACATCTACCCCCCGTGGTCAGCTCTGCACGTATCGGCCAATATTCATTGTTGTAATAATTGTATTGACTGTTTATGTAAATCAACGGCTCTTCGGTTAGTAATTGACCTCTAATATCTAGTATTACGCATGTGATATGTCAATGTCTTGTTTAACATTATCTATCTTCCTAATGAAATAGGCTGTAAAATCCGCTACCCCGATTCCAACAAGTCACCTGGTATTGATGGTGTTTCTACAGCTATGCTTAAGTCAATGTTAACTGTGTATTTTAGTTATGTTCATTGCCATTTAGTATATAGTGCCATTCTCTGGGCTAATTGTAGCCATGCCAACATCTTGTTTGTTTTACAAAAAAGAGCCATTAGACTGTTAAGTAATGCTCCCCCACGTAGTCATTGTAAGCCTATATTTAAGAAATTGTCTGTGATGCCCTTAACCTGTATTTATATTTTTCAATGTCTGTTATATGTTAAAAACAACTGTGATATTTTACTTTGTAATAAGGATGTGCACAAGTATGCCACAAGGAATTGTAATAATTTAAGAATAGATCAGTGCCTTTATGCCACCACTCAAGCTAGCTTCAAATATACCGCTACCAAATTGTACAACAAGTTACCAGTTAAAGTTAAAAAGTTACCATTAAATGTTTTTAAAGTAGCCATCAAGAGAATTCTTCTAAAAAACTGTTTTTATAAAATAGAAGATTATTTTGCCTCAACCTTAGATTAGTTTTAAGTTGTATTATATTGTTGACGCAGCCTATACACTATTGTACTTTTCACAATTTGTGTCTATGGAATAAAGATGATTTGATTTGATTTGATTTGATTTGAATTCATGATCTAATTGCACCAGCTCTTTCCCACATTTTTAATCTTAGTATGGAGTTAGGTATTTTTCCAGATGAGTTAAAAGCAGCTGTGGTAATTCCTTTACATAAAAAAGGGGATATTAGAGACTGTAATAACTATAGACCAATATCCTTACTTTCAGTGTTCTCTAAAATCTTTGAAAAGTTGATAAAGTATCGACTTGTAAAATTTTTAAACTTATCTAGTTTTTTTAGTAATGACCAGTTTGGTTTTATAAATGGGAGATCTACAGAAGACGCGTTGTTACAGTTCTGTTCTCAAATTGCTAATGGTCTAAATGTTAACAACAATGTGTGTGGTGTGTTTGTGGACATTAAAAAGGCCTTTGATTCAGTTGATCACACCATACTTCTTTCAAAACTTTGGAATGCAGGTGTTCGAGGAGTTGCCTGGAATTGGTTTAATAGTTATCTGTCCGGTAGATCTCAATGTGTTAAGCTACAAAAGGTCACTAGTTCTAATTTGTCCATAACCTGTGGTGTCCCCCAGGGTTCAGTGCTTGGCCCTATTCTGTTTTTAGTTTGTATCAATGATTTATGTACAGGAACATTTTTTGGAAGAATAACTTGTTTTGCCGATGATACGGTTCTTAGTTACTGTCATAAGGATTCAGCCCTTTTAATGAGACATATGCAAGAAGATCTTGATCAATTAAAAATCTGGTTCACCTCAAACAAAATGGCCCTGAGTGACAAAACCAAGTACATTCGATTCTCCTTGAGGAATAAAACCGATGTAGTAGATCAAAAACTACTTTATAAATGTTTACACTGTCTACAGGGAGTACCGGCTTCCTCTTGTAAGGGTTGCATGGATATTCAGAAAGTTAAAGACATTAAATATCTTGGTCTCACAGTTGATGAAAATGTTAGCTGGAAGCCCCACGTAAATAATCTAAAAAAATATCTATGGTCTTGCCTAAGAAAATTTTATTTGCTAAAGTCTTGCTGTCCTCGATCTATTTTAAGAACTGTTTATTTTGCTTTGGTGGATTCCAAACTGCAATATGGCATATCATGTTGGGGAGGTATTTACCACTCCAGCATTATTCCTTTGATTGTAGCCCAAAAAAATATAGTAAGGTTGATTATGGGTGTAGACAGGCTAGAACATTGTTTTCCCTTATTTAAATCTCTAAAAATCTTTCCACTAAGACACCTCTTTGTTTTCAGAGTACTAAGAATATTTTTTATTAGATCTGGTCACGTTTTAGGAAATCAACAGGTTTATTCTGATAGACTAAGATCTAGAAATTTTGTTGTTACTCCACACCCTTATAATGAGTTTTTTAGACGCTTTTTTAGTTTTCTAGCTCCTAAGTTATTTAACTTTCTTCCAAAGGATATTTGTTTAAGTACTAGTTCTAAAATATTTGTAAATAGGTTAAAGAAGTGGCTTTTTACTTTACCTGGAGTTGAAACATTATTGTCCTAGTTGTTGTAAATGGAAGTACACATGTTTTGATTTTTTTCTGTACTGTATTTTATTGTTATTATCTATCACTTTAATGTTTTATTTGAATCTGTGGAAAAACGTTTATTTCATAGTTTTAAATTGTTTTGATACAAATTTGCCATTATATATGTTTAATCTTTATATATAGCATAATGTATTATTTGTTTTTGTTCTCCAGTACGTCTTTTAGATTGTAATGGTTCCTCAACACGAGAAAATGAGGGACCTAACTATTCATTCTTAATTTGTATTGGTTATAACTATGTCTTGTATTCTATGTAATGTATATTAATTGTCAATTGTTATTTTGTTGTATTGTTGAATGAATAAAGATATTTTGAATTGAATAGTTTCGTTCCGTACCGATTTTTTACCAAAAACAGAGGTACAAAATATCGTACCCTACCAAACCGTACCGACCTTAAATTTTCTGTACCGCAGATCCCTAATGACCTTACAACTGCGGTTCAACACAATTTTTCTGCAACAACGGGTGCTACGATAACGAATCATAGTCATGATGACATTATGATAAAGGCACTGGTAACTTTTTATTTAAGACATGCGGTAAAGCCATATTAATGAGTGTTTCTAGGCAGGCCTATAAACAATAAATAATTTTCATTATTGTTTAAAGGATTGTTGTATACATTTAAAAACCGACAAAAGAAAAACTGAACCAAAATTAATTGCAACCAACATATCACTACTAACCATAGTTACTGTACTTTTGTTTTCTGTAAAAGAGGAAGAACCATAAAACTAAGCAGTGCCTAGCAATAATTATTTTTGTACAGTTCTAGCCTATCTTTTAATTGATATATTGTAATGCTGTAGATGGGCACTGCCAGATCAGATGGCTCAGGCTGGGTTCTATCACCAGCCCAACTCTGCCGGTGATGACCGAGCAATGTGCTTCACTTGCACTGTTTGTCTTGTTTGTTGGGAGCCCACAGATGAACCTTGGTATGTAAATCATCTGCGGCATTGGCTGCATGAATACATCAATCATTTATTTAAAAAATCTTATAACATAGACTACCTGTATTGTTTTTGTAAGCCTACTTGTATATTTACAAGCGTATATTGAGGTTTAATACATTCACACAAGTTCTCCTGTCTGTTATGTGGATATTCGCTTAAAAATCTCATGGGACTGTTAAGATATCAAAACCTAGAAATAAAATTGATTTATTTATGGGGGTGTGCGAAGCAGCAAAAGATTTTTTATTCAAAGCAACAATTTGATTAAAAAGATTTTTTATTTGAATCGATGCAACTCGATTTGAAGCAATACGGCACTTTTCTATTCATTCTTGTCAATGGAGTGACATAAGAATAATTAAAATTTACCACATTTGTGTAATGCAAATTTTTGTTTATGTGATAGTAGGCCTATTCATATTACGGCACCATATATGAATTTTAAGTGAAAAATATTTATTTTCAATCATATATCAGAAGAATTGAATTGATTGATTGATTGAAGAATTGAAGTATTGATAGAAATGTCAGTGAGCTGCTTTACTTGAATATTTTATAATTTTTACTTGCAGAATCATATTGTTAGGCATGCTACCTATTTTATAATATTGATTTTACAAATTAAAGATATGTTTTGTTTGGTGTAAACAAATAAAAACATTTGTAAGATTTATACTGAAACTTTCAATTGGTTTACATTGATAAAATGAGAGGATAGAATCAGACCTTTAAACTACAAGGTATACATAGCTTCAGACCTATTATGTACTTTGACTAATTTAATACAATTAAACTGTGCACATAATGTTGACTGTGTAGTGTATATTTATTACTGAATAACTTCACATAAACATAAATAAAAACAACAAATAATTAACTGATCAGCTGGATTAAATAGGGACAGTCTTTGGAAATATGTATCAACTCTCCCCGCCTAAATTTCACATTTTAGAAGCTGATCGATATGCCTCCTCCTCACAGTTCCGTCTTCCATTTTGACTTGGTATAAGAGGGTACCTTCTCTTCCAATCATAGTTCCAAAGCTCCATTTCCGTTTAGGACTTGAGTAGTCTCTAGCCTGTACACTGTCCCCCACTTGAAATTGTCTGCGCACAGCCATTGCACTTCTTGCTGACTTGTTACATTGAGGAAGCAATAATCCTAAGTGCGTTCTTATCTCTCTTCCATACATTAAACTGTAAGCATTTGACCCGGTTGAGTTAGGGGATTGACGAAGTTGCATGAGAAGCCTATATAATTTAAGATCTAGTTTACCTCCTTCTTCTTCCATTGCCTTTAATGATTTCTTTATTGTTTGAGAACATATCGTTCGGCTTGCCCGTTCGAGGAAGGATGGTACGGCGCAGTAGTTTTGTGCACCACACCATTAGCAGACAAGAACTGTCGGAATGCGCTAGAAGTAAACTGACTCCCATTGTCTGATACTAGAACTAAAGGTAGAACGAATGTAGCAAAAGTTTTCCGAAGTTCCCTGATACACCATTCTGTAGACGTGTTCTTAGTTGGGATCACTTCAATCCATTTGGTGAATGCGTCTACAATAATGAAATACCATTGTCCTTGCATTGGGCCAGCAAAGTCTACGTGTACTCTTTCCCAAGGTCCTTGAGGAGTCAGCCATGGATGATTGGGTTCTTTAGCAGGTTGGTTTTGTTTTAAGCGGCATTGTTTACAGGTGCGTACCAGTTGTTCAATGTCCTTGTCGATGTTTCTCCATGTGGAATAGCTTCTAGCAAGAGCTTTCATTTGATCCATACCTAGATGTCCAACGAGTAGTTCTTGAAGCACAGCATGGTGAAGAACTTCTGGTATTATTACCCTATTACCCTTAAATATACATCCGTCTTGCAGCGTCAATTCATTGTCATGAAAACCCAGATGTTCAACAGACTCCCCTGTCTGACGGGCACGTAGCACTGATTGTAGGAACTTGTCTTCAGCAGTTTTTCTAGATATGATTTGACTGTCTACTAGAAACGAGTCCAGCTGGCTGATTTGAAATAGACTACAGTCATCCACATGATTGATTGAAGTGTGTTCAGTTGGGAATCGTGATAAAAAATCAACATTCGCATGGTCTGTAGTTTTCCTGTATTCGATTTGATATTTGAATCCAGATAAGAAGTGTGCGTAATTGAACAGCCTCGTTGCTGAGATTGATGGCAGAGTCTTGTTTGGATGAAATATTGATACTAACGGTTTATGATCAGTCACTAGAATAAACTTACGTCCGTAACAATAGGGGAAAAACTTTTTGAGGCCCCAGTATATCCCTTTTGCTTCTTTGTCAATCTGACTGTATTTTTGTTCACATTTAGTCAGAGTACGTGAAGCAAAACTAATAGGCCTTTCAGTTCCATCACTGTATCTGTGAGAGAGAATGGCCCCAAGGCCCACCGGTGACGCGTCTGTTGCAAGTACTAAGGTAAGATCTGGATCATAGTGAACAAGTACATTGTCACTAGTTATCTCTGATTTGACTTTCTGGAAACTCTCTTCACATTTAGTTGTCCATATATACTTTTTCCCATTCCGTAGCAGTTCATTAAGTGGGTAAAGGATTGTGGCCAAACTTTTAATGAACTTATTATATGTAGTAGTTAGCCAATCCCAGGAACTTTCTCAATTCATTTACATTTTCTGGCTGTTTGCTGTTGATGATGGCAGAATTTTTTTCCTTTGTTTTGTGTAGTCCCTGAGCATCAATGGTGTGTCCCAAATATTGGATACTTGTTTGAAAGAATTTGCACTTGTCTCTGTTAAGTCTTAAGTTTTTGGATCTCATTCGCTCTAGTACAGTCCGTAGTCTGGTTAGTAACTCTTCTTCTGTCTTACCTTGAATAATGATGTCATCGAAAAAGCACTGTACACCAGGAATCCCCTGTAAGGTTTTGTCCATAAACTGCTGCCAAAGGGAAGGTGCTACTTTGACTCCAAACATTAAGCGATTTACTTTGTACATCCCTTTATGCGTGCTAAGTGTTTGCATATGAGCACTTTCTTCATCCATCCTCATATGAAGGTAGGCATTAGAAATGTCCAATGTGCAAAATAGTTTGCCTCCATTCATTTGGGTGTAAATGTCCACAATTCTAGGAATAGGATAGTTTTCATCCTTGATCAATTTGTTCACTGTGACTTTGTAATCAGCACAAATGCGCACTTGACCATTTGGCTTGACAACAGGCACGATGGGGGTACCCCAGTCTGAGTGATCTACTTTGGTTATTATTCCACATTCTTCTAGTCTCTTGAGTTCCTTTTCAATTTCACTCCTTAGAGAATATGGCACTTGTCTTGGCTTCACAAATATCGGTTTTGCGTCATCCATGACCCTTAATTGTCCTAAATGATCAGGTATGACTCCAATTTTTCCATCGAATACATCACTAAAGTCGCTCAACATGTTTCCTAGACTTGATGTCTGATTCATTTCTAGACTTTTTATTTCACCCCAATCTAATTTGACTTCCCTAAGCCAATCTCTACCAAATATTGCATCGACATTTTGTTCGATCAAAAATAGTTTCCCGACAAATCTTTGCGTTTTGTTCATACAATTTACAAACGTTACACCTCTTGGCTTAATAGTTTCCCCTGTGTATGTACGAAGTTCAACGTTGGTTGAAAATACCTTTTGTGGAATTGACAACTTCTTAAAATCTTTGTAGGACATAGTGCTGAGGGCTGCACCCGTGTCTAGTTCCATTGGTACTGCTTTGCCCTCAATCTTCATGTTTACGATAAATTTGTCATTGCTTCTACTGTTGATGACATTAATGTGGAACTCATTCTCACTACTTTCTTCAGTTTCATATTCTGTTTGATGATTTCTGTACTTTGCTTGCATCTGCCTTTTTGTTTGCATGCATACACTTGCAATGTGTCCCACTTTGTTACACCTTCGACACGTTGCTTCCTGAAAGCGACACTCGTGTGCCCGATGAGATGGTGAACCGCAGCGATAGCATTTTCCTTTGAGCTTTTCAAAAGCTGTTTTGAAATTAGGGCTGTTCGGTGAGGATTTCAGTTGTGTTGGCTTAACACTTTTTTCGTTATTATTTTTATACTTAATCTGATTCAATTCACTTTGTTCCAACGTATTATGGCTTACAGTCTTACTTTCTGATTTTGCAAGTTCCATTGCTGAAGCAATGTTCACTAAATCTTGATACATTCGTTTTTCACGATCATGTAATAGTTTAGTTCGAATGTCTACGTCTTTCAACCCCCGGATAAACTGTAGTTTTAGAAATAGATCTGCAACAGATTTACCACAGCAACAATGAAATTCACAATTTACAGTCATCTTCTTAAGATCAACTGAAAACTCATTCACTGTTTCATGTTCCATTTGATTCCGCGAAATAAATTTCTGTTGTAAAGCCCATTGGCTTGGCTGAGGATCCACGAATTCTTTCAAGAGCTGCACTAAGTCATCATATTGTTTGTCCAAAGGGTCCTCAGGAGTACAAACATCATAGAGTTGTTGATGTAGTTGAGGTGTTAGGGCATGTAGTAGTGTATATACTTTACCTTTATTATCAGGTTCTTGGTTATTTAGATACAAAAATACTTCCAGTCTTCTTATGAAGTTTGTGATAGTTTCTTCGGGGTGATATGGTGTGAAATTAATTCTCCCTGATGTGTTACATAAATGTGTACTGGGTGATGAAGATAAAGAGGTGTTGGAGTTTTTCTGTTCAACAGCTAGCATCATTTCTTGAAGTGTAGTTGTAATCTGTAAATATTCATCTTCCATACTGCATCTGCATTCAATTTCTCTACTAAGCTCATCCAAATCTGTGTGTGAATCTATTTCATCTTGTATTTGTTTGTACTTTGTCCAGAATTTTTAGTAACAGTTAGTGATGTGGGCCGGGTAAATACCCAGTGGGTAGGTAAATATAAATTGGGTTTTTACCCGGGTATTTACCCCAGGCCCAGGTAAATACCCAAAA